AAATCATGGATGCTCAAGGCTCTACATCCAACTTTACATTTATATTCAGTTAGGAACAACTCAGCTGACAGAACACTCTGGTTGCATTACAAAATAAATTGCCTTTCCGGAACGAGCAAAGCATCATTTCACCTTTGCGGATCCGTCTGCAACAATAAACATCAGACGACTCTGAATGTGGAGAGAACTGAAATGGCTGATTTCTCACCTGCAGTTTGTCCTCTGGAACATTAAGCCAGTGGTTAAATGCTTGGGATAGTTTTGTCCTCACTTGCTTTCCTGAGGAGAGAGGGGAAAACAAATGTTCAGTTGCTGTAATAGTCAAAAGACATATGTACTGTAGTATGAAAAGGAAAAGAAAAAAGATAACCTGTAATTGCCTCCTTCACAATGACTGCACAATGTTACAAATCAGCAGCTCATTCCAGGTTTAAAAAAAATGAGGTCTTACTGCTCAGGCTTTGCTGACATGAGTATTTTTAGTCCTTATGTTGCAAATATTTGTGAAAGCACACTTTGTTGAGGTGTATAGTAACACAGCTGGTGGGTGGTAACTACACATTGCCAGAGAACCTGAACTTTAAAAAGGATTACACTGTCTTAGAACCTATTTGTCATCATTTCAGCCAGTATAACCACAGGTAAACATGACACTGCTGTCACCCTCACTGTTGTAGACAGAGCTTGTCCTATTTACTAAAATAAAGTTCTGGTGTTCGGTCCGTGACCAGTCAAAACTGAAGAAACAAATGAAGTCTGTCTCCTAAACAGCAGTGAGTGAGTGATCAGTCAATATAAATTAAACTCAACACAGCCGGGATGTTAAACATGCTCACAACTCTGCACAGTTTGTTGTCTTCTGTGTTATTTCTCAAACTGTCCCATTTTATTACCATTTGGAGTCATCGATGAATGTAAAAGACAGCCTCAAATATGAGTACAAGACATCATAAGACAAATCTGTTCATGTTCAAACTGAACAAAACATCTTTAACACAGTGAGACCATATGCTGCTGCCAAAATGCAGATTGGAAATGTAAGTAGCATATGAGTCAGTTGTCATGATTGTGCTGTAAATGCAAAACAAAGTAAAACAAAGCCAGTTAAATACTGAAATGAATATGTTACAATGGATTAATTTAATCTCCTTTAAGAACACATGTTTTCATTAGTGTATAATCACCT